ATCTTTTGAAATCGACGCGTTCATACATACGGACAGACGGACAGACGGACGGACAGACAGACGGACAGGGCCAAATCAACTCAGCTCGTCACCCTGATCAAGAATRTATATACWTTGTGGGGTYTGYCACRCYTCCTTCTGCCTGTTACATACATTTTAACAAAACCATTATTCCCTGATATCCCATTGAAAATGGGTTCAGGGTATAAAAATTAAGTGAAATAACCAGGGGACAACGCTCCTAGCCACAAGGCGAGAATGGTACCAACATTTTTGTGAGAAGTTAGGGTTAAAACACTGGACTGTCCACCCCAAAGTCCAGATTTTAATATTATTGAAAATATTTGGTCGCCTATAAATCGAAACAGAGCCGCTGAGGTCACAAAGGAGGTGGAAAGGATTCCATTAAAACATCTCCAAACCTTGGTGGATTTCCTCCCGAACCGCCTCCAAATAGCCAGAAATGCCAAAGGAGGGTATATTTTCCATTAATTTAACAAATTAAATTCCGTTTTTTTTACCATAGTATTAAATTTTGTTGATAAACATACCAATGTCAAAATGCTTATGCCGCTGCAAAAATCGTTGGCGTCTGGCATTTGTTATCAGCAGAATGAGCTAACAAAACATAATAGACAAAATATTTCGGAAATTTACAGTTATTAGTGTGCACTTTAATAGTGATTAATAGTGAAAAGTAAATGATGTAAAAATATATATGCCGACCAGTGTATATATATATATAAAGGCAAAGCGAATCTGAATCTGACAGCGCTTGATCAGTAATAGATTATTCTGTAGTCGGTAGCGCCCGACTACAAATTTATTTGTTATATTAATCCTTTTTGTTATATATCCTTTCAGTTGTCCTCCTCGAACATTTTTGCCAGCTTTATGCAAGATATTTTTGGATGAGCTTGCACCTGAAAATGTTCTTGAAGTTACTGCACGCGCCATAACCTATTACCTGGATGTTTCTGCGGAGTGTACACGAAGAATTGTCTCAATCGATGGCGCTATTAAAGCCATTTGTAACCGATTAGTTGTTGCCGACTTATCTTCACGTACATCGCGTGATCTTGCAGAGCAGTGTATTAAAGTTCTTGAACTTATATGCAGTAGAGAAGCAGGAGCCGTTTTTGAGGGCAGCGGCTTAAATTGTGTGTTGTCATTTATTCGGGATTGTGGATCCCAAGTTCATAAAGACACACTGCATTCTGCCATGTCTGTTGTTTCACGACTTTGCACTAAAGTGGAACCCAATTCACCATGTATAGATAACTGCGTGGAAAGTTTAAGCACTCTATTACAGCATGAAGATGCACTGGTAGCGGATGGTGCTTTAAAATGCTTTGCATCTGTTGCGGATCGCTTTACACGGAAATGGGTTGACCCTGCACCTTTAGCTGAATATGGATTGGTTGCTGAACTGCTCAAACGTCTAGAAAATGCTGGTGGCGCCAATAGTCACTCCCTATCTACATCTAAATTAAGTGGGCCTGTACCCGCCAACCTAAATTCAGACCGACTTAATGAAAATGTTTCAGGATCATCGAACGCAGCAGGAAAAATTCAATCGAATGAATTCCGGTCGCCGCAATCAATATCGACAACGATTTCGCTGCTGTCTACATTATGTCGTGGTTCACCCTCTATAACACGTGATATCTTAAGGTCTCCGTTACCTAATGCTATTGAAACAGCTCTAAAGGGGGATGAACGCTGTGTCCTTGACTGCATGCGTTTTGCAGATCTATTACTTCTCCTTTTATTTGAAGGTCGGCAAGCATTAAACAGGGGCACTGCTAATAGTAATCAAGGTCAATTGGCTCCACGACCAAAACGAAATGACTCCAGTACTGATCGTACTCATCGCCAGCTTATAGACTGCATAAGATCTAAAGATACTGAAGCTTTGCAGGAGGCAATCGAAACTTGCGGTGTTGATGTAAATTGTATGGATGACGTAGGGCAAACCCTATTGAATTGGGCATCTGCTTTTGGTACTTTGGAGATGGTTGAATATTTATGTGAGAAGGGCGCGGATGTGAACAAAGGGCAAAGGAGCTCATCTCTTCACTATGCTGCCTGTTTCGGACGCCCCGGAATAGCAAAAATTTTACTTAAATTTGGTGCTTATCCAGATCTACGCGATGAAGATGGAAAAACACCTCTTGATAAAGCACGTGAACGATCAGATGATGGCCACCGCGAAGTTGCTGCGATTTTGCAATCTCCTGGTGAATGGATGTCCTCTGGAAATGTACTGACAAATAAGGAAGGACAAATATACACATCTCTAGAACCGCGCGGTGATCCTGAAATGGCACCGGTATATTTAAAACTACTTTTGCCCATACTCTGTCGAACATTTCAGGGTTCTATGCTTCCTAGTGTTCGACGGGCTAGTTTGAGTCTAATTAAAAAGATTGTTCAGTATGCACATCCCTCAGTTCTTAAAAATATTTGTAGAAAGTATGATGAGCCCACAACTTCAATAGCTATTCAAAGTGTTGGAAACTTGTTAACTGAAGTTATCGCCAGCGTCTTGGACAGTGAGGTAAAAATATAAGATTGTTTAAAGTTTGAAGCAGTCACATATCTCTTATTATTTATTTTTTTATAATTTTTTAGGATGATGAAGATGGTCACGTAATTATTTTGAACATTATTGAGGAGCTGATGTGTAAGACGCAAGAAGAATTTATTGAGCATTTTGCGCGATTGGGAGTATTTTCTAAAGTACAAGCCTTGATGGATCAAAGCGGAGACAATTCATCACAATTCGCTTCAGGCTCCCCAGAGTTTTCGTCAACACAAAAAGGATCAACCTATTGTATGCCGAGTAGATCAGTTTCAGGTAGCCTTAGAACTACATTTTTGTATTAATTAGAATGCCCAATTATTATATTTCTGTTCGCAGATGATTTAGTGGAGGATGCTAAAGAAATTTTGCAAGGCAAACCCTATCATTGGCGGGACTGGAGCATTTGTCGAGGTAGAGATTGTTTATACGTTTGGTCAGATTCCGCTGCATTAGAGCTTTCTAATGGTTCCAATGGCTGGTTCCGCTTTATACTTGACGGAAAATTAGCTACAATGTACTCAAGCGGAAGCCCTGAAAATGGAAATGACAGCTCAGGTAAATATAATGTTGCGAATACTTTTTGTATATCTATGCTTTTAGAATTTTCCCATTTCAATGGGTTCAGGGTATAAAAACCATTTTATATTCAGACGACGAAATTGCATCGTTCATCGAAAATCGTACAGCCATGTTTAAAAAAAAAAAAAAGTTTAACAAGAGGAATTACTTATTTTTATATTTTGTTGATCCCCCTAGGGTATTTTTGGGCGTTTCAATCAACATTGTTTCCACCAGCTTTCATCAAGCTTCCACACTTATATTGTTCCACTCCTCAATAAGTGCTTTCTTGAGATCGTCCCTGTTCGAAATGCCGTATGTTCGATCACATTCATATCTGGAGGTTGATCCGGTGTTTCCATCACTTTTGGACAGTTATAGAGGGCCCATGTCTTGGCACTCAAAAAGCTGTGTTTGAGATCGATGTCCGCATGCCCAATTTTTCGACACTTGAAATCAAATTTTCCTTAAGTATGTTTATGTAACTATACTGGTTCTATAAATTTAACGGAAAATCACTAAAGACACCTCCACCTACATTCTCAGCCAAGCTCAATTGGAAAAGTTTTTGGAATACCCGAAATTTAATTAAATTAAACGGATGTACGATTTTCAGTGACACTACATTTTCGTACAGTTTGAGCTGTTGCACATTTAAAAAAAAATGGGAGTAGCAATGCCTGTTTTATGAACATTATATCGACAGCGCTTGGGCTGCGCTACAATGTGTGCAATATTATGAGAATTTATTTGTTGAATAAATTCTTTTGTAGACATAGAATCTTATTGAAACTTTCAGAGCGTAATCATATGGTTAAAATGTTCTAAAGCACAAGTCTCTAGTACTTAAAAGGCGTTTTTTATAAATTGGTGGCGAAGGGAACGTGGTATCCAAAATCTGTAAATTACAAAATCTTTGTATCGATCAACTGTATATACACAGTAAATCTGAAGTCTCTAGGTCTAAAAGTGTTCAAATTAGGCTGAAAAAACAAAATCAATTTTTCGATTATTCTCGATAAAAAGTTGTCGGATGAGTTATTGAAAAAATATGATAAACTTGTACTTGTACTGTTACATACTGTTTTACAAAACCATTATACCCTGATTTCCCATTTTCAATGGGTTCAGGGTATAAAAATATTTTGTACAAAAATGTTTGTTACTTTAGAAGTTAAGAGCTATATTTTAAATTCATATTAGCTGTACGATTTTCAATGACGCACACTGTATATACAGTTTGGCAAGAAAGTGTTTACACACAGGGAAAAAATTTGAATTCTTTGCTTTGAAGCGAAAAAAAAAACAGTAATAATATGCATATTCAAATTTTTTTAAATGAAAATAGGTAAATTAAACTATATACTATATTAGTAAGTAAAAAAAAATTACAATATGTTTNATATATTTTTTTTTTTTTGTTTTTTTTTTTCAGAAAATCGAGGGGAGTTCTTGGAAAAACTAGTTCGAGCTCGATCTAGCGTAAGTCCAGGCACGCCCTCACAACCAATCTTGCCAAATGTATGTGTATTAAGACTTGTTGTTGGAAATTGGGTGTTGCAATCTCATAAACCTAATCAGCTGCAAATTCACAATACAGAAGGTCATCAAGTTACTATACTACAAGATGATATTCAAGGCTTTATATTTGAAAGTAACAGAGGAACAAAACATTCGTTTACAGCTGAAACAACCTTAGGTGCCGATTTTGCTTCAGGATGGTCCACTGAGAAAAAAAAACGTTCCAAATCAAAGACAGATATACAGAAAGTTCAAGTGTCAAACCTATCTCGTGAAATTTATAATAAATATTTTAAGTCCGCTCAAGTAATACCGCGTGGAGCAGTAGCAAAGCTAACAGCTATTGTGAAGCAAATCAATCTCGCTATTGAGGAACAACGTATGGCTTCTAATAGTAAATGGTCAAAAACGTTGGTGATGGCATTAACCAGTCTTTCAAAGTTAATTCATGAAGATGGTGTTGTAAGTGCATATGAAATGCATTCTTCCGGCCTTGTTCAAGCTTTGGTTTCAGTTTTATCTAATAACTATTGGGAATTTAATTCGTCGCGTTGCAAAACTAATAAAATGCTAAAGGACCGCATTGATATATTTAAAAAATGTATTTTCGGAGAATGCGATGCCTCCAATATATATAATACCAAAAATACGGCAAGCATCCTCATACAAAAACTTGTCGCTGTCTTAGAAAGTACTGAAAAATTTCCATTGTTCCTGTATGACGCTCCTGGCTCTAGTTACGGATTACAAATACTTCAAAAACGACTTCGCTTTCGACTGGAACGTGCGCCATCTGAGAGTACTCTTTTTGATAGAACGGGTCGGACATTAAAAGTAGAACCTTTGGCAACAGTTGGACAACTCGCAAAATACTTGCTAAAAATGGTTGCCAAACAATGGTATGACCTCGATCGATCTACCTTCTTATACTTAAAACAGATGCGTGAACATAAACAAGGTATTTCCTTTACGTACAATTTTGATTTTGATGAAGAGGGCCTAATTTACTACATTGGATCAAATGGAAAAACGTGTGAGTGGGTCAATCCTGCGCAATACGGTTTGGTGCAAGTTACAAGTTCTGAGGGTAAAACATTGCCCTATGGAAAACTAGAAGATATACTGTCACGTGACGGCGTTTCCCTTAACTGCCACACAAAAGATAACAAAAAGGCTTGGTTTTCAATAGATCTTGGAGTATATATTCTACCTACCGCTTACACCTTGCGCCATGCTAGAGGATACGGTCGCTCCGCCCTAAGAAATTGGCATTTGCAAGCATCAAAAGACG